AGTGTAAGGGGAGTGTGAAAAGATATTGTAATTATCTTGAAAATATAGTGGAATTGTTCGGAGGTTATCCCGTGGTTTTTTCCTCTATTTGGAGGGTTTTCCACGTTAAATTTTGGTGTCTTATTTCTTGCATATTTTATTTATTTGAGATATTCTTAGTATGCTCTGTGGTCGCAGTTTAATCTGAACTTCCACATCAGAAAAGAATTATTCCGGTGTTATTGCAAGAGTTTTTCTTTTGTCATTCTTGAGTTGCTGGGATCGGGATTATTGTTCACCATTTTACTTTGATATTTTAATTTACATCTTCCGCATTGCGCATCTGAGCCCAACAGTTTTCTATCATCCCACCAATGAAATTGAACTTTGAGGAACATAATAGACCAATCAATATATTATGTGAAAATTGAATTTTGAGGAAGATAATCGATCAACACTATGTTAAAATCTTTGATAATCAAGCGTCTTTATTCCTATATATTTTATTTAATTTGATGAATTTATATTAAGTAATTATTCATATTACATATGTGATATCCCATATTTTCATTTTGAATAACTACTCATGGATTTGGATATTTTCTCACCAAGAATGTCCATATTTGTTGTAACATAATCTGAAACATTATGGTACATCAATTTTACTTTTTTCTCCACAGATATTTCCAGTTCTCATCAGAATTTCGAAGTTCAATTTTGATTTATCAGTAGAAAATTACTGTAAAGAGGTTAGTTATTGAGCACATTGTAAGAAATGGAGGGCTGTGTCGTTAAACCCGATAAGACGGAGTTCACCGAATGCTGGCGCACGAGTTGGCAAACTCCGTACATTATGCGGCTTGCTTTATCAGCCGGCATTGGAGGGTTGTTGTTCGGTTACGACACAGGTAACTATACAAAGAGAAAAAATGAAATCTTAGGCTGTGTTTGGTAAGTATATAAGCTAGCTTATAGCTTAATTCATTCGTTTATAAGAGTATTCAAATATGTTTGGTTTGGTAGGACGAGCTCGAGCTAATTTCATAAGTTTACTTAGGTAGCTTTTCAAATAATTCTATTTAATTTTTATGTCAGCTAGCTTATCAGCTAATTTTACCAAATTCAATCATCATATAAACTAGTTTTTCAGCCATAAAGTCATATGCTATCAGCTATAAGCTCGAAGTTCACGTAAAAGTTATTTGTTTGTTATTTTCAGGTGTTATTTCTGGTGCCCTGCTTTACATCCGAGACGACTACAAATCGGTCGACAAGCAAACATGGTTGCAGGCAAGTAATTCTGTAAACTTCAACTTTACTCAAATGCACAACACAATCTTTACCAAAAGAAAAAGAGAGTCAAATAATAATAATAATTAAAAAAAATGAAATTTCAAAACTTTTTTATCGTTTTCCTAACGAGCAGGAAACAATCGTGAGCATGGCCGTGGCCGGAGCCATATTCGGCGCAGGTTTCGGCGGCTGGATAAACGACAAATACGGCCGTAAAGTGTCCCTTCTTCTGGCCGACATTTTGTTTTTCCTAGGTTCGCTTGTCATGGCTGCAGCCGTGGGCCCGTGGATGATAATCCTTGGGCGCGTGCTGGTCGGGGTTGGGGTCGGGATGGCTTCAATGACGGCCCCACTCTATATTTCCGAGTCTTCGCCGGCTAGAATCCGAGGCGCTTTGGTCAGCACGAATGGATTGCTGATCACTGGTGGGCAGTTCATGGCCTATCTTATTAATCTAGCTTTTACTAAGGTTATATTCCACTTTTTCTTTTTTATCTTTCCTTTTTTTTTTCCTTAAACATAGTTTTTTGCTTGATGTTTTGAGAATTTTGAAACAAAAATTTAGATGATCGTGTGTTGAATTGTTTTTGTGTGAATATGGTTTTTAAGACGCCCGGAACTTGGAGATGGATGCTCGGTGTAGCCGGAGTGCCGGCCCTCGTCCAGTTTTTCTTGATGCTATCGCTGCCCGAATCTCCGAGGTGGCTGTATGGAAAGGTAAGAAGTTGGCTTTTGAACGAGCACGTCGTAAAAAATCGACTAATTTATAAAACTACCCTTGAACTCTCCTTAATTACAAAAACTAGGCTCTTTGGGTTGTTTTTCAAAATTACCTTTGTTCCTTCATGTTCCATTTCGTGTTTCATTTCGTTCGATTAGTGACACGTGTACAAATATACATCTTCGTCCAAAATAACTTCGTTTCTTCTTTATTCATTGATAGAGCCATGTGTTTGAGGTATAGATTTCCTGTGCTTTCACTTTCATGTTTCATTTCGTGTTCCACTTCGTTGGATTAGTGACACGTGTACAAATATGATATCGTACCATTTTAGCCAATAAGTAGTGCTAAATATAAGGGCTCCCCTGTATTGGATTCTGTTTTTTTTGTATCCATTCAGGACAAGGTAAAAGAAGCCCGAGCAATCCTCGAGAAAATCTACCCAGCCCACGAGGTAGAGGACGAGATGCGGGCCCTACAGTCGTCAATCGAGGCTGATCGGGCAGCCGAGGGCCCGACGGGCGAAGGATTAATCTCAAAGGCCAAACATATTTGGGCCAACGATGTTGTCCGCCGGGCCCTATACGCGGGCGTGACTGTCCAGGTGGCCCAGCAATTTGTCGGCATAAACACCGTCATGTACTACAGCCCAACAATCGTCCAGCTGGCGGGCTTCGCCTCGAACAAGACAGCTTTGGCTCTGTCCTTAATCACGTCCGGTCTGAATGCGCTCGGGTCGGTTGCCAGCATGGCGTTTGTGGATAGGTTTGGGAGAAGGCGGCTTATGATCGTGTCCATGTTCGGGATCATAGCTTGCCTCATGGCCTTGTCGGTCGTGTTTTATGAAGCGGCCGATCACGCGCCACGTGTCGGCAGGGTCGAGTCGGCTAGGTTTGGGAGGAACTCGACGTGTTTGGAGTATGTGGGATCAGGCGAGCCGCTAACGTGGAACTGCATGACTTGTCTCAGGGCGGCCTCGGATTGCGCATTTTGCGCCATTGGAGATAGCAATGTGAGTTTTTCTTTTGTCGAG